CTGATGAATAAAATTGTTTTAACTACTGGTAAATATATATTTTTATTTCTAAGTTAAAAGTATTAGGTTTGTGCAATTTGTTAACTATGCCTACCATACAGAATAAATTAGTTGTTACTTGTTAAATTGTTTTTTATAATTTTAGATTGTTTTGTTTGCATTGTTAAATATTATGTTTATTAAAGCAGTGATTTTGATTCTTATATTTTTTTCATGTTCTTTAATAAACCATTTGATACTGAAGTGTATTACAATTAATTTATATAATTATGATAATATCACAGAACAACTCAACAATAATAATATGATAATATGACGTTCTTGTTATTCAGTATAGATAATAAATTAATATTATGTACACAGATATATATAATAACAGATATATAATATAATATTATACATATATATATATTTATATATGTGATTATGTATGAATGACTGTAGATATAAGAAATTAATAAATGAGTAGTATGATAATGGCGAGCGAAGCGAGCGTTTTTTTTTTTAGTGTACGAGGATTGAAGTTAAAATACGAGAATTTTGGGAAGCTTGATACGAGATTTTAGCCATAGGTATCTGGCAACACTGCTGTTATCTTTTGGTATTGAAATATTCGTCTGTTCATGACGTAGTCGTAGGACGTGTATTATATTAGTGTAATATTGTACGCTGTCTAGTGTAGTAATTGTTCTTCTTTTTAAACATTACAGTCATTCAGTATTACACGTCTAGTTTAGTCTAGTTTAAAGTGACGTATTTCACATTTTCACTTTGTTAGTGTGTAGTAGAATAGTAGATACTGTAAACTGTTCATTGTTCGTTAGATAGTTAGTTAGGACGTACTATCAATACTAAAAATGAATTCTGTATATGACCCTGTTGTTCAACTATTAGAAACGCCATTTCGACGTTGGACAGCTAATGACAAAAATAATTTGCTAAAGCTTGGTAAACCAATTCCCCAGTTGTGTTGTCAGTCAAAAGATAAGAAAGGTGGTAAAATGTTTAGTAGAGCGTTTAATCATAAATGGTACGATATACATACTTGGCTTTGTGGAAGCCACTATAAACAGGCGTTGTATTGTTGGCCGTGTTTGCTTTTAAGTATGACAAAATCTGTTTGGACTACAACGGGTTATGGCGATTTAAAAAAATTATCACGTAGTGTCAAACTTCATGAATCTGCCAGAGAACATATTCATTGTATGTTAGGATTAAAACATTTAGAAAATAATAGAGTAACTTTACTATAGTAGACGCTTTGACCGAACATGGTTAATATAATGAAAATTTTCGGCTTAACCGACTTTTTATGGAACATCTAATTGATATTGTGTTATTTTTGGGTAGACAGGAACTGGCCTTTCGAGGGAATAACGAAAGTTCAAGTTCTTTGAATAAAGGAAATTTTAAAGAACTCTTTGATATGCATATTACTAGGTGTTCATTAGAGATTCAAAACCATTACAATGCTATAAAAAATATATTTTCAGGATTATTAAATACAATACAAAATGATTTGATAACATGTGGTTCTGATCACATACGTAATATGGTAAAAACTGAAATCAAAGAGTGTATGTTTTATTCTGTCCAAGTTGATGATACGACAAATATTTCGCAAATAACACAATGTTCAATTATACTGAGATATATAACAAATAAATCTGAATCGGTAGAAAGGTTTCTTGGTTTCTATAATGTTAGTGATGATCGCACTGCTGAGGGTCTCTTCAACACGTTAATTTCTGTATTATTAGAATTTGATATGGAAAAAAAGTTAATTGGTCAGTGTTATGATGGCGCGAGTGTCATGGCTGGTCATGTAAATGGTTTACAACAAGACAAAATAAATAGGTATGTCAGAAACTCGTGATACGCATGTCTGTGACGTAAGCATTTCTCCAACAGGTTGAGCCTACATGCCACGCGCCGCTCAACTCAAAGGACGTCTCCTTCGTATATATAGAGGCTAGGACCCCAATACACATTAGATGTACCAGAGCGAGTGAGCCGCTTATGCACCAGCCATTACACACAACTTACACGGAGATTATCAACTACTACAACGAGTCAACTCACGACGCTACAATTCACCACGACTATATTAATTATTATTGGTTTTAATAAAACTACAATTGATTTATATTTAAATTGACTATCTTTTATTGTAAAAGTGTATCAGCTTTTGGATTCCTGAAGGGCTGTACGTAACAATAGTTAGGGAGGGGTGTATGGGAAAAACCTCTACGTGGTACACCCTAGGCAACAGAAGTGATCTAATCATAACTGGCAAATTTTTCCACTCCATTTTGATAAGCCATACCTACCATTTAAACTTTAAAAACTACATTAACATATTTTGTTCCTGTGTTAGGGTAATAGTGTATTTACTATTTAATATTTTTCCGCCTCATGTAAAATTACATGCCAAAACCACCACTGAGATAAGCAATGCCATAGGAATATTCGTTGACAATTAATTTCTGGCAGCCACTATGGAGCGCTGTTGACAACCGCTGGCAGACGTTAAAAGCGCTGTCGGCTGTCGGCAACCGCTGGCAGACGTTAGAAGCGCTGTCGGCCGTCAGTATATATACATTATACAACCTGAATGAAAAATAATACTGTCATTGAGTAAATAAAAATTGAAACCGGAACTTCCAACTGAAATTAATTTTGGTTGTTCAATATAATATACCTAAATGTACAGAACAACAGAACCCTTGTCAAATCTTGATTCCACTCGTGGATTATTGGATATTTGGATTATTTTTATACCATTGATAACATTCAATATATTAATTAATAGTGGTCACAAATGCAACAGTGACATCTCGTGAAAATAAATTCAACTATAATTCTAGTCAATTAATATTCCTATGGCATTGCTTATCTGTGTATTATATAATCAATGGTAGCTAATAACTTTTTTTATAGCACGTAGTGTTTCGTTTCGGTAGTAGGTATCTAGTGTGGTGACAACTGACAATATATTATTTTCATTACAAAAATCTCAACATTTGATATTTTTCACAAGAATTTACAAACTATTAATAAAATGCTATTATAATATTTGGCTAAACAAAAAAGGTAATTGAATTTTTGAAAATTCGCTCGGGGGGTGGGGAGGCTTGGGTGACTTTTAGATCCGCTACTGGGTCACTGTAATGGAAGTATTACATTTAAATTCAATGATATACGAAAAACGAATCTGAGAAAAGACCTAAACGGTCAGCCTATTAGGCCAGGCAATAGAGACAACATTTTTGAAAATGGCGGAAAAAAATCCCAACCAAGATTTTTTTTTTTTAAAAGTTTTAATAAAATATGCCCTATAACATACTAAAAGTCCCCATTGATAAGACAGGAGCTTTTTTGAATATCTCAACAAATATTACAAATATCAAAAAAAGTTTCAAATAAAAGTTATTTATTAGACAATTTACAAAAAAAAAGTTTTCTTATATTTTTTTATTTAAACAAATATTTGGCAAGATATATTTGTATAAAAATTGACAGTTAAAAAATTATTAACAAATTTCTCTCTCTTTCCGTGTTAAAAAGTTTTTACAATGTATTAAATATATGTGTGTGTTCTACAAACTATAAACATGAACGATTCAATTATAATAACATAGTAAAAATTGTTTTTTTTTTAAACTTATGATAGCTAGCATACAAATAATTTGTATAATAAAAAAAAAATATTATAATTTAAAGTTAATTACACTACATATAGTGCAGGCAGATCATACTTTTATGATTCGTATTCTTCTTCTTCTTCTGCGATTCCATCTAATAATTCTGAAAGTGTACAACCTTCTGTACAATCAACCTCTATTTCCATAGAATTAGTGCACTATTTATTGCTCTTTGCAATGTCCACATACAATTGAGCACTTAAGACCTGCTTTTCAACAACCACAGTTTTTACCACAACCTTTTGTACAACTACATGATATACATTTAAGTAACTGATCGGGTGTTGGAGCTTACAGTGTAGTAACTGGTAACAAAATATTATTTTGAAATGTCCATCCCCAATCCTCCGGGTTTTTTTATATGACCTAGCCACAGCTGCACTTGCAAGTAAACTCTATAAGAATGTTGTCGGACAGCATTTACTGTTGAAGGAAGTTATTAATTTTGTTTTTTGTAGCACATTTTGTAAACAGTTTATAACGTTGTTGGTTCAAAGACTTCTCATTTTCTGATGCGCCATATAAATATAAAAAAACATAAAACACCATTTTTGCTATTAAAAAACACATAATTAAAAACGTAATACATTCATCACTCTAAACCTAAAATTACCGACAGTCAAACTAAAAATATAACCGTTTTTCATGTTATTTTGTTTCAGTGAAACAAAATAAAAACGTTCCAATATAGCTATTGGACATAAAATACCTATATGTTTTATATAAAAAAATATTTAATAAGTATACAGAGTGATTCGCCAAGCATACTCAGCTCTAGCCCTCATTTTTCATTTCATAATGAATCTATTCAATTCTACAATAGCGTTTTGGCATTTATTAATATTACATAAAATTGAAACCAATTGAACTATTCACAGACATTTATTTTTGTTAATCATTACAATTTACAGTACTTAATTACTAATCAGGCTAATTAATTTTCATATAAATGTATAATCATCCTATATACAACAATATTATAGTTTTAACATTTTTTTATTTTATTTTATTTTATTTATGAACGGGCTAGTAGCCCATCAATACAATTATACAAAATTTTTTAGTAATACATTGAACAATATGACATAATAATTATAAGTTAGCGAACGACAAACAATACAATGGATCAAATAAACAATTAATGACAAATATATAAAAACAAAAATATTAACAAATGGTAAACAATATGTATAACAAATTGTAGTATTATTACTTTTAAGAGTTGTAGATGGTACCTATATATGGTACATACACCGTAAACAAAGCAACAAGAGCTACAAGAGCCACTTATTGGTACTACATACATCCGCAGCACAATGCACGCCTAACATTTTTCTTAATGCGGGACCAAAACGAACGGCATCTAGGCTTTACCGTACTTCCGATTATTACCTGAACCGTGTCCGGCTGGCCCGCATTAACGATTGGCATCGTCAGGATCTCAGCTTTTACCGCAGATGTCTCATCACACTCTGCTCTGATGTCCATTTCAGGGACAGTCGCCACATCCACCGAGACTTCGCATACAACTTGCATCATCAGGGTCTCAGTTTGTACCATGTCATCACACGCTGCTTGTTTGTCCATTTTAGAGACAGTCGCCACATCTACCGAGACTTCGCATACAACTGGAGAATACGACACATGAACGTTAGGTTTCAAAGAAAAGCGCGTTGTAAGCCGTGAACCTTCGGCGCTCAAACGTTTCTTGGCCTCAACTAGATCCCTGTCATCTAGTGAGGCCATCGAATCAGAACGCCGTCTGCAGGGTTGGACCGTCTTCACGGCTATCGCAGCAGGGTCCAACGTATCAACATTCGTATCTTGCAAGTTAGGGTCCTAACTAATTGCAGGTTAGATTTATGGTCACGGAAGGTGTAGATCTTTCTTCGTTCACCAAAACATTACGTCTGAAAAAGCAGAACTTTTCTGGTGGCCTAACAGCGTATTTGACTTCACGTGTCCTGGCTAAATGTAACTGGACAGCGTTGATTGAATACATAATTGAAGACATTATTATACCTATAATATGACAATAATTACAAATGGTTACTGGTTTAGCTAAGTATATGTAATATTTACAGACAATAATCAATTCGTTACAATAACAAACATCAAACAATATTGTAAGACTAATGACACATTCCATGGAAACTTAATTTGTATGTTAGGCATAGTACATTAAATAGATAAAATAATAATAATATTTATAATCGAATTTAACAAGTAAACAAAACTGTGCCAAATTATACTGTAGGTACATTTTTAGGCAAGTGATTTTTTAAAAAGTTTTTAAGGGAAAAATTGATGCGAGCATACTTATGGTGGAACACCGTCGCCGTGTATACCTACATTATGTATTTTAATAATAAATAATATTTACAAAATGGTAGAAGAGATTCTGACTCTCAAGGAAGTTGAAGAAAGGGCGCGCCATTCGGCAGACGCCGGTGGCCGACAGAACGAGACTCGAGAGCAGCGGGCTCAAGAAAAGGCACGGGGACGAGAAGTCTAGGATGGCTGGTTTGACCATAGATATTAAGAACGGATAGGCCATGGCTATATTAATAAAATAGAGGGAAGTGTCGCCGGAATGGGGAAGAGAGAAAGACTGTTTTTTATCATTGCTTCTCATTTTAGCAGAGGGTCTTATCATAAATTATGTACAATAATTATATATATATACATTTGTGTTAAGACCTCTATAACCTCAAAATATTTTCATGTTCATTCCCGTATGTTAAGCATAAATGGCCTATCCATTCTTTAATATCTATGGGTTTGACCGGTCCGAGAAGACACCAAATACTAAATTAATCAAACAATATGTAAAGGGACGGTCTGGGGCCTGCCTCGGCCGTCCTATACAGCCATGTTATTGTAAATTTTGTAAGGAATCATGGAGCTCGCGGAATGTACATACGTATGTACAAGCTGCGACCCATGCGAGCCGAAATCATATGATGTATACTATAAATAAACCATGCTGCATGGGGGCCAAGTAATGTAATAAACGTGCGGCTCCCATGTAGTGGTGTAAAAAAAAAAGGTTATAGCATTAATATCATTCAATATATTAATTAATAGTGGTCACAAATGCAACAGCGACATCTCGTGAAAATAAATTCAACTATAATTCTGATGAGGCGTATAGTTGGTTTACCACGTATTATCCAATACGGGTGATACCACAGTACTAATGAAAACATGAACAAGTCATGGTCGGTTATCAATGATGTAGCACCATCATTGAAATTCTGTTTACTGCTACCATCCCCCCCCCCCCCCATTTGAACAACATCTCAAAGTGATTCATATTTTCTTTTATTTGTATTGACTTGACTGTTTCCATTTCAAAAATACGATGAACTATATGGTCGACGAGGCTTTTCATAGGAACCGAACAAATAGATTCAGAAATATGCAAATCATCTGGATAACATTTTTTTTTGCTTCTAGAATACTTGAATACGGTGGGTATAAATCTCAATTTATTTTCTTTCCACCTAGTCTTATATTTAGGTATTATCGTTTTGTTAATTTATTTTCGATTAAAAAAGCTAATATAATTAACTTTATAAAATTCAAAGAAACCGATATTAGTTTCATATTTTAATCGGTTTTTCAAGAATGGTACAATAACGGTTTTCGGTTTGGGTTTTGTAAACGGTTTTTTAAGGTCTTAGGTTTCGGTTACCGTTTTTAACCGGTGTTTAAATGCTTTTGGTTAAGGTGTTCAGAAATGATACAACCGTGGTTTTAACCGGTTTCGATCCCTGGGTACTAGGTACAAAAATGCTTAGAGTTTATGTTGTTATTATATATTATTATTTAACTAGTCATACTAAGATAATAGATAGTTATTATAATTTTATAGTGGAATATTTATCATGATTTAAATCGTGGTTTTTATAGGGGTTTGTAAGAATTAGGAATAATATCACATAATATATTTATTCTGTATTAGGTACTGTGGTAATAGGTAAATATTTGATATTAGTAAAGCGCGGGAAAAAATAATAAGCTCGTAAATTCTGTTTCTATATTGGCACACATCATGTCGCAAGCGCTAGTGGTCAATTTTCCAGCTTTTCTGGTTATTTAATTTGGTTGCCAGTTTAAAACGATCTTATCATAGGTCGTCGGGTAACCATACTATCTTAAATCGTGGGTCTGAACAGGCCTGTATGATAAGTGTGAATAAACAACAGACATAATATTATAATATCCGTCTGCTGTCATTCACTGGAAAATTATTAGTGTCCATGTGTACAAAGAATCCTGTTGGAAACACTTTTCTACTTATATAGACATACCTGGTAATATTAACTAAAATATATAATACATTCATTTCACAGATTTTCGAGATTTTTACTTATTTTGTCAAAATTCAAACTTGAAATTCATATAAAAAAATTGTGATTATGTATTTTTAATATTTTTCAATTGGCATTGTAACAATATATTAGGAGCCTAGTAAATATTGATGGCTATCGAAAATGATGAACAAATTGATTTTTTTAATTTCAGTCCAAATTCTGTCGATTTTTCAATAGTTTTGTAAGAAAAAAAAAAATAGATTTATTTCTGTTATTAATTTTACTACTGTTTTGAGTTTTTGTATTTTGAATATTTTCTCCAATTGTTATTTTTACTATATTTCTGTGTTTTTTGTATTATTAGAATATTAAGTATCTTAGTTATTCATTAATTTATTTTTTCAAATGTTATTTATCAAATGTTTTACCATACCTATATGTATTATGTACTAAATTACAATCTTTAAGTAATTGGGTTATTACCCGTAAATAATTAAATAAATAATAATAATAATAATAATATTAATAATTTGTAAAATGGACCAACTATAGTAAATACTAGTTCCAGTTTTAAGTCTATTTTATACTTATGTAAACCATTTTTAAGGACTATTAATAATATAAGGAAACTTGTATTACATTTTAAAATCTTAGATTTAAAAAGAAAAATTTTTACGAATTCTTAACGCAAAATAATTTGTTAATTTTTGTGATTTTTCCATATTTTGTCAATTTTTGAACTTTAAATGCTTATAAAAAAAAACTGTGACTAAGGATTTTTAATATTTTTCATCTGCCTTTGAAACAATATCTAGGAGCCTTCTATTAAATGTTCAAGCTTTTTTAACCAACAAATAATATGTTATTGATATTTTTAGAAAAAAAATGGAAAATGAAAATGTCTCTAAACAGTTCAAAATAAATCAAAATATTTTGAAAATGTTATCGTGTATAGAAATGCAAATATAAACAACCAGTGAAAATTGCATGTATTTACATTCATTTGTTTTAGAGTTACACCAAAAACCAAAATCGAATTTGTGGAAAACCGATTTTGCGTAAAAATTCCCGTTTTTCCTTAATTTTTATGTTGTTTTTCCCGGCGCTTGTGAAAACTATTGGGAATTTTTAATTTTGACCTCCCAAAAGTACCAACTACATTCACTTTCATATCGAACAAGATACTGAAGTTGAAAATCGAAACATTATTTCGACTACTAAGCGTGTACACAGATACAAAAAAAAAAAAAAAAACACATCATTGTAAAATCAATACATTCATCGTTCTACTCAGAATCTAAAATAATGGTGGGCATGCTAATTTTCTGTCCCTAACAGCCTAACAGCTTAACACACAAAACATCAAATTCCGTTTTTATTTGAAAATATGATAGTGAATTATATTTTATACCAGTGCCAAACTTACCGCCCCCACCTTAAAAAAATTATTCCTCTTAAAAAAAAATATTAGGTCTACCTAACCTAACCTAAATCCTGAATGAATCTGAAGCCCAACAGAATAGAAAATCTATTTTCATGGTATTCAATGGTATTTGCAGGCAAGTGTGGCAATGCCATTAGGTAAACTAAATTCCAATTTTATCAACATTTATATAAGATATTTTTTGCTTTTATTTTAGTGATATGTAAAGTAAATTGGAGCTCAAAAATAAATAAATTGTACATTATAATATATAATATTTAAACAGAATTTAAGTATTAAATATTAGACTAAGGAAGGAAGTCAGAAGAGTATAAGATAACATAAAAAGGTACAATACTTCTGGTCATGCAAGCAGGAACTGTTAAGTTGATTTTAGCTAAAAAAGTTGCTAAATTTACTATTAACTTACCATTCCTACAATACGCCTTGCATTTTCATTGGTGTTGCATATGTGAGTAAACCCATTGCTTCTCAGGTATCGTGTTATGCACTAACATTAAAATTAAATATAAATTAAATTACATACACTTATCTAATAACATTATTGATATAAATTATAAAATTATAATATTATGTTTTTAGTACTTACACGTATATAGTGAAACCAACACCCAGTATTTGTGACTTCTGGAATCACCCTATGTATGGCATCCCTCAAGCCCTGCTAAAAATCAGTGATAATTTGTACATTTTCATAAGTTATTATAATAATAATATTGTTTATCACGGAATAAATTCAAATTACATTTTAAACAAATATATAAGAGAGTTACATTAGCACCTACTTAGGGGAAAAAGAGAGAAAAAATACATTAATATAAATCAAGTTGTGTGTTAACTGAATAAATTAATATATAATATAATTTGAAAAAAAAAGACATAAGAATAGAAAACTAATGAATATACGAAGAGAGATCATTAAGTGAACAGTGAAATAAATCTATATTATGTATGGAGTTTCCTATAGCCATTAGAGTATTAGA